CGCCTCTACGGCGTTGCAGCAGCACCGCCGCCGATCACCCTTGCTCACGGGCGGATCTCCCAAACTGGTTCCTTCCCGCCGCCTTCTGGCGCATCCTTTGGGGGGGCAGACTGGTACCGATACCGCTGAACCCTGGACCTCTCCAGTGGTGCGATCTGACTGTAATTTCGAGGCGACTCCAGCTGTGGCAACGAGGAATGGGTAGCAGAATCGGTTTCGTTTCTTCCTCTGAGCTGTCTCCAGGAGCGCCATTCGTAGAGGCCTCCCACATGGGGTACTTTGGAGGATCGCGCCGCATCGGCAATCTTCGGCGATGCATCGCCGACGACGGCGACGCATCGGTGCTGTCGGCGTGGAGAAGATGATCGGGCTCCACATCGCCCAGCCGCATCGGCGATGTATCGGCGATGCGGCGCAATCCCCCGACCCCATCTGCTCGGGGACCCCACCTGGGAGGAGGGAGGAGGAGCAGGAGGAGGAGGAGGAGGAGGAGGAGGAGGAGGAGCAGGAGGGGGAGAAGTTGGGAGGAGAGGGGGGGGGGAAGAGAAGGGGGAGGGGAGGGGGGGATGAGAAGGGGGAGGGGGAGGGGGGGAAGGAGGAGGAGGAGGAGGATGAGGAGGAGGAGGAGGTCTTCTCCTCCCCGCCCCGCCGGCCTCGCGTCGTTGTATGTGATGGCCAGGGGGTGGCTGGTGTTTATGCAGAACGCGTTGTTGCGGCCTGGGCTCGCGCCGGGCGGCTCCGGGGAGCGGCCGGGAGGCGACCACAACAGCTCGTCTCCCCCTTCGCCCTCCAACTCCTGCTCCTCCTCCTCCTCCTCCTCCTCCTCCTCCTCGAGATCCTCGACCTCTCCCTCCTCCGCCTCCTCCTCCTCCTCCTCCTCCTACTCCTCCTCCTCCTCCTCCTCCTCCTCTCCTCCTCCTCCTCCTCCTCCTCCTCCTCCTCCTCCTCCTCCTCCTCCTCCTCCTCCTCCTCCTCCTCCTCCTCCTCCTCCTCCTCCTCCTCCTGCTCCTGCTCCTCCTCCTCCTCTCTCCTCCTCCTCATCCTCCTCCTCCTCCTCCTCCTCCTCCTCCTCCTCCTCCTCCTCCTCCTCCCCCTTCGCCGTCCTCCTCCTCCCTCTGCCCCTCCTCCCCCCCCCCTCGCGGGGGCGTCGCCGCGGCCGCGGGTGCGGCGGCCGCGCTGGGCGCGGCGGGGCGCGGCGTGCGCTCGCCGCGCGCAGGTCGGAGTCCGAGAGGTCCCGCCGCCGTGCAGAGGAGGGGGGAGGAGGAGGGAGAGGGGGAGGGGGACAAGCTAGGTGCGCTCGCGTCATATCTGACATCCTACCCCTCCCTCCCATCCCTTACCATGGCGCTGATTTTCCTTATCCGCGGACGCGTGTCGTAGCGGACCTGTGGCTCCGCGCGCGCGTGCGTAGTGGGTGGTGGTGCGCGTGCGTGCGTGCGTGCGTGTGTGCGTGGTTGTGGTTGTGGTTGTGGTTGTGGTGGTGGTGGTGGTGTGTGGTGGTGGTGGTGGTGGTGGTGGTGGTGGTGGTGGTGCGGTGGTGGTGGTGGTGGTGGTGCTGGTGTGGTTGTGTATGGTGGTGTGGTGGTGGTGTTGGTGGTGTGGTGGTGGTGGGTGGTGCGGCGCGGTGGTGGCGGGCGGATGGGCGCGCGAGAAAAGAGGCCCGCGCTGGGGCGAGAACGCCATCCTGAACGACGGAGGCCAAACACCGATCCGAAAATGCCCACGCTGCAGCGGGAGCACGATTCGGAACGATTCGGGAGCAGAAATGAGGCCGGCGCCTCAGCGAGAGCAGCATTTTGAAAAAAAAAAAAAACGCAGGCGAAAACCCGTTTCCCGGGAATCCTGTGTAAAGAACAGTACGCGGCGGGGGGTCGGCCATCTTCGGGACGCCATCAGGGGAAGTGGGAGAGTATTTTCATATTGTGCAATTGTGGAGGAGGAGGAGGAGGACGAGGAGGAAGAGGAGGAGGAGGGGGAGGGGGAGAAGGAGGAGGAGGAGGAGGAGGAGGGGGAGGAGGAGGAGGAGGAGGAGGAGGAGGAGGATGAGGAGGAGGAGGAGGAGGGAGAAGGAGTATCGGCGATGCGGCGCGATCGTCCGATCCTGGCCACCCGGGCCAGGGGGGGGAGGAGGGGGAGGGAAGGGTGTGCGCCATGGTCTTTTTGTTTCTCGGTCGACCCCCACCCCCCCATCCCTGTCAACAGGACAGCACAGAGTACGCTGTGGGGCAGGGTCTCGGGTCATGCTCGTGAGGCCCCCGCGCATTTTGTACGGCTGGTCGACCGGGACGGAAGGGTGTTGCCTGCTGTGCGCAGGGCCACCATTCCTTGTAACAGAAACAGCAGAAAGTGCCCCTCGCGGCCAAAATCTAGATCATGCGCGGCCACCCCGCGATCACTGTCAAGTGGTTTTTGACATTGACGGCGGCGGTGGTGGCGCATGGCCTGCTGTGTGCAGGCCCACCAGACACCATGATGGGCATGGATTTTCGAGAAGGCTGGTTGGGTCCGACACGTTTCCCGATGTGTGCTGTCACGTGCGCAGGCGCACCTGACACACTCTGCACGTGCCCCGAACGTGGTGCACCTGGCGCGGCTGGAGTATGCGGCACACCTGGCGCACGTGGAGCACGTAACTCATCTGGCGCACCAGGCGTGCCAGTCACGCTCGGGCCCCAGGGGGGCCTGGCGCGCGTGTCGCGCCTGGCACGCGTGGCGCACCTCGCCCCAGCGTCGCGCACATGGTGTCGGTGTTGGTTCCCAGCAGCTGCACATCCAAAGACGACCCGTGAACGTGCTGAGGCTCGGGTCTACTCACGTGTTGGGGGGCGGGTGGGAGTGAGCAAGACGGCTTGTTATGTAGGAGGGTGTCTTGACACCTCGCAGGCCTGGGATGGGGGGGGCGGGTGGTTAGAGTTTCAAGATGTGCCTGAGATGGCTCCAAGGAGGCCCCCGGCAGCCCAAGACGGCCTCCAAGATGGCTCAAGATAGCCGAAGACGTTTCAATATAGCCTCCTACATACCTCCGCTCCAAAACAGCCCCAAGACGGGTCGAAGTCCCCTTCGAGCCTTCCTGGGCACCCTCCAAGAGGCCAGAATCCTTCAAAACCTTCGGAAAATAAATGTGCTTTGTTGCACTCCCGACGGGCTTCTACGGCCTCAAGATGGCCCCAAGATGCCCCACGAGAGCCCCAAGAGTGGGTCAAGAGCGCCCCAAGACTGCCCCAAGAGCGCCCAAGAGACGACCGAGAGCGCCCCAGGAAGGCCCGCGACAGATCCAGGATGGCTCGGACGCCGGCCCGAATGTGGCCCAACCGAGCGCCTGCAGGATAACCCGCTGCAGTAATCGCGCCCCAGACGGCCCTACGACCCCAAGCGAGCCGCCGACGAGCCCCGGGGAGGCTCCGCAGGCGCCTGCGACGCCCCCGAGGGGCTCCGCGCATAACTGCACAGCCTCGGCGCTTGCGCGCGTCTGCGCGCAGGAGGCGCCCGCCGCTCGGGGCGGCTCGCGCCATCTGGGACAGGGCGCACCGAAGACGCCGGCGAGGGACGTGCGCCCTGACCGCCAGAGCCACGGAGTAAGATTGCGGCGCAGACGCATCCGAGCCGTCCTGGGCTCTGGCCCCCCATCCGCATCATCCCGAGGTTTATGCTGCCCCCATCGTACTTAAAGGGCCACATCCCCAAAATACTTTCCGAGCGCCCAGAGAAGTATCGAAACCGTGTGGAGCGAGTGTCGCCTCCCAGGGCCCGACAGGCCCCAACCCCCCAGGTTTCGGTACTTTCTTGGTGCTCGAACTTTTTTGCGGTCATGGTTAAAGTAGTTTGGAACATCATAACCCGAGGCGGCCCCGAGGCCGCGCACCCTGCCATCTCGATGCACTTTCCTCAAAGACGCCAGGGAAAGGGACTGCTGAGACCGCGGCGCTGCACCTGAGACTTCGAAGTGCGAGTGCGAGCGTCGTGCGGCGACCTTGCGGGCGAAGCCGAGCGGACTCGAGACATGGGCATCGCCCGTCTCAAAAGTCCCTTTCCCTGGGGTCCCCTTGGGAACCACACAGACCCCCGACGTCACGATTTTTTCATGGCGCGCCACGCAGCAAACCCCGACCCATCCGCCGGGACCGGTTTTCCGTCCTGAGCCGTTCTTTGACGGCCCCGAGGCCCGGTAAGGGCCCCCAGAGACCGAAATTGGCCAAAAACCTCCCGCGCCATGATTTTTGCGTGACCCGAGGAACTCTCGGCATATGCCTTGAGCAGGGACCGACCGTCCCAGCATACCACGAAATGTTCTTAGAACCTAAAAATGCTTGGACCACAAAAAACGATGTTCTTAGAACATCAGCCCGGTGTGTTAAAACAAGACAGCCTCAGACAGAAATGTTCTAAGAACATTTCGTGCAGACCACAATATGCTCTTAGAACAGTCTTTGGTAGGCCTATAAGAGGAGGAGGAGGAGGAGGAGGAGGAGGAGGAGGAGGAGGAGGAGGAA